CCTCCCTCCCCAACCGACGGCGGCGGCGACGGCGTCGCGGCGCCTTTTTGTCGTTCTTTTCGGCGCGCCGGCTAAACATTGGCACGGCCGAGGCGCCGCGTGTTCCCGCCTCCGCAAATATATTCTTTTGAAAGCCGCCCCGCGCGAGACGCCGCCGAAACCTTTCCGCGAGGGGGCGTCGCCAAGCCCGCACCAAACCCGCCCGCGTCTCAAACGGACGTCTAAAGAGGCGCTATTCTGAATAAATGAGAGAAACGAACCACGAACAAAAACTTTTTCACGGAATATAAAATAAAGCACGTATCAAGAATGGTAACATTGGTGTAACTGGAAACAAAAATTATATAAAATACTGATAACTCTTTGTAACCTTTTATATTATTATTATTATTATTATTATTATTATATTATTATTATATTATTATTATTATTATATTATTATTATTATTATTAAAGTGTCATTGCTATTACATTTCGTTTAACAATACCTTGACGATAATGAATTTCAATACTTCAGTCTTTAACACACACAATTAAAATTCTTATTCTTAAAAATACTCATAATTGCATATTGTTATAATCATACAAATATTAAATATAACTAAAATAAACCATGACATCATCATGACTTTCGGCTCTTCTTCTATTAAATAAAAACTAAAAATACGTTTAAATTACAAGAAAATATCCGACTACTATCCGATTGAACAAACATAATCAAAAATATTGCCGAGATGTAAATGAAACACAACAATTTGAGTAACAAGGTAAACGGATTACAATTTAAAACATTTACAATGTAGCAACAATATATTTATAAGTTTGCTCTTCTCTGAATTGGGACGTGAAGCAGAAGTTACTGAAAATCGGTGGTAGAAGAGATGAACTGAGTACTACTATACAATTGGTCTGCTACAATGAAGAGACGCCATCATTTTCCATCCAACTATTTCATGAATGAGGAAAACGATAAAACGAGATTTTTTAACACGGCGGAGGAAGACATTATCTCATCAGAAAAAGCTTTATTGTTCGAAAGAGGAAGTTCAACGCACTGATTTCCGGGAATTTGGTGACCTCTACTACCGTCCATGAATAAATGACTCCACTGAAACGCGAATCACTTTCCGCGAACAGTCGCATACCTTTCAACACTATTGCCATTGCCAGTATTTCTAGGACACCTCTTCTCCGAGAATCTGCCTCGCTTCCCCAATCCTAGTTAAAAGACATTAATAAAGCCTGTAATAAATCACGTATCGAAAATAAATTATGATAAAAAACTAGGTTTTTTTGGTTGCAAGGACTTCGAAACTGACGAAACCATGGCGGAAGACCACATGCAAAAACACCTCTATGCGTATGTAATGTGATGTGTATTAAAATGTATGTTTAACACTATTAAATTTTTACTAATAAATCTCATTATATGCAAAGCATTACACTTTTAAATTAAGGTGGATAGTAGGATTTTCAAATATTGTCCACTACATCATAGCTGTGCAGATCTTGTTTAACATGAAACATCTTAATTACATTTTCAGAACCATGTTTAAGTCTGTGTTTAATGGTGATTGTGACTTCTTGGCTGTCCGGGTGACGGCGCGTCGCTGGCTGAGAGGTCACCCGGACAGCCAAGAAGTGATGAACTCGAGCGGCGGAAGTTTATGTATGCAATAGTGATTGTGTTCTTGAATTTGTAAACCTTCTTCACTTCATTAGTCTTAGGGAATAATTACTAAATGGCATCTAAATAGCTTCATTCAATTATGGATATTTATTCGATGTCAATTATTTCTTTTAATCTGAGTAATTGTTGCGTAATAACGCTAAGCGGGGGAAAAGTCTCTGTAAGCCACGCATTCCGACTAGTTTAGCTTTGGAATTTAAGCTGTAAGTGCTGCTGTTCAATAATGAGAATACCTCTGCCCTAGAGAGAGCTTTCCTGCTTTCCGATAAAATCTATCCACGAAGGGTTATACTGCCTTACTGGTCTTGATCCAAGTAAGGACAATCTCATTTCTTCATTTTATTCCCTAAATTCCATTTTACTATCAAGTAGGGTTTCGATAATGTAAATAGTTTCATTCAAACTATTTAATTAAAATGTGATTTAAAACAAATTATTTTTAAAATTACTGATTCAAATCATTTTAACAAGTAGCTAAAATAAATATCTATTTTGTTAAGTTTCTATCAAAGAACTAAAAATTATGAAATATACGCAGATATGCGGTTGTAAATAATACAGATATGTAGCTAAAAAGATTATTCAGAACGATCATAATTTCAAAAAAACTGTATTTACATATTAATGCAACAATGATAACTTTTACAGATTGTTAAGGTTCATATTTTTGTATAAAAACTGAATAGGCGCCTTTTCAGTTCTCAAACGAGGCGTTCATCGAGGTGAATGGAGATGCTACCCGGGAGGAGGAGAAGATTGCGAGGTCACACCTCCGTATGAAGCCTGCTAGTATGCATACGTGCGGCACAACGGTACGCGATGCCCCATTTTTTCTTGCACACATGTCATAGTTATTTTTTCTGCATTCGAAGTGTATACCATCTTTGGAATATTTCTTGAAAAGTTTCTCCATGACTCCAGATCTGTGAAACGCAGTTTTTACGCAAGAGCTCTTTGAAGGACATTTAGACCAGAAACATAAAATTTAATAAAGATAAGTTGTAGTCCAGATATTCTCCAAAATTTAAAAATAATTAAGAATTAAAAGTTCATTATTATTTATTAACGATTGAAATAGCTTTTTTTTTCAATTTTTAAAACAAATCATGAGATTGTCTCGAACTGCAACGATACATCGAAAGTACCACAGGATGTCATCATGGTGCACTGGAGTCCTCACAGCAAGTACCTTTGGGAGTTTCGGGAAAATCCCAGTTCTCTGTCTTAATTTAAATATCATTGCAGTAAATAATTACAACTTAGTAAAATGTAAATAGAAGTTTTTGTGTTCTGTTATTTAATTAATAAATTCAACAACAATCAAATATTTTTTCATCCAATGATTTTTGATTATTTTTAAGAACGAGTAATAACAAGAAATTCGAGACGTGCAAAACTATTAAAAAAATTGTACGAGTAACTTTATCTTAAAACATATCTTAAGAATAAAAAGAGATTACTTATGTAGTGTAATGCTCTACCACGATTAAACTAAGCAAGATTTACGTCACATCGGTTATAGATTTAAAAGTTTTAACTAAAAAATCCGATTTAAATAATAAAATCGTGTTTTTTTCAATCGCTTCTAAAAAATCATGATTTTTATTACTATCTAGGGTTACCAGAAACAATCTTAATAAAAACGACAAGTCATAGGGAATTAACACAATAAGACCTTTGCAGTTTAATACTGTTTATTAAATGAGCAAAATAGCTGAATATATTTTAAGAACAAGAGAGAGAAAAATAGAGATAAAAATAATTCCGTATTAAGTAGGATGAATGAAAAGTCACTGCGTAGCTATACTACCAGAGCGTAGTTTTTAATCTATTTTAATAACTATATGCTATTTTATTCTGATGCACATTACTGATTATTTTGTTTTAAAAACATAAACACATAGAAAAAGTAAAACAAGAAACAAAATATTACGAAAATCAATACTAAATATTAATTCGTTGACCAAATAAAGTGGCTTGTCCTCTACGACGCCGAACATTTCTCATGAACACAAAGCGCAAGAGGTTTCCTTCTCCATTACTTTAAAGTACGAGAAATCATATGAAAAGAAAAAATCAATCCCTAAAAGAATTCCACCTTGCCATGTCTACGAAAAACTACCTCCTGGTAGACGCGCTTTCAGCAGTGACTCATTCTGCCTCGCAACTTCGCGCTCTGGCCGCGAGCGCCCAGCGCCCAAGGCGGAGGCGGAGGCGCTGGCGGCGGAAGCGGATGCTCCGAGCAACTCACCTGCAAACAAAAGAGCAACGGCATTAATCTCACAGCGCAGTAATCCGGACCGGGGCGGGGCGGGACTGGGCAGGCCGGTTAATTACATGATAAAACAGACTTTACAGTTTTACTCGTCGTCTTATATAGATTAAGACGGTGTTTAGAGCTCAGGGGTGAGGGACGGACGGGCGTGAAGCGGGGTGGAGGGAGAAGAAAAGGCAATAAGGCGACGAAATGCAGCTAGAGGAAAGGAGAAGCGGTGGGTAGTTTTGATACGGAAAAACGTGGAGGCAGGAGACAAATTAGAGTATGTGAAAAAATGAGAATGTTTTCTGACGAAGACAGGAAGATCGAAAAGGCGTACGTTAAGGCGCGAATCAAAGGCAAGAGTGAGAATGTGATGCATGGTTGTTAAAGAAATTACAAGGTCAGGGAAGAGATTCGAAGAAAAGAATAAACGAATAAGGTGGAAAGATGGGAATCAAACATGAGAGGAGAGAAAAAATTACATACGAAGAGAAGGCTAGAATATACGAAGATACGGCATATTTAATTCCAAGTCTTATTTTCGTATCGCATATCTTCATATATATATATATATATATATATATATATATTATTATTATTATTATTATTATTAGACAGCTAACGCGGAATCGTACAGAGAAATGCAAAAAAAGCGGACGGTAGACGGCAGGGTGTAGACAGCATAGGAAAGAAGCTCCAGAGCGCTGGCACGAACGCCACCGAAGGACCAAGAAAATGCGAAAAAAAGGGAAGGCGTTTTACGTTTATTACTTCGCTTCGAGGAAAGAGGAAGATCAAACGATTGTTCAATCAATACCCATCTAAACATCGCGTTTTACGTCCCATAAAATCCGAAGAGTTCCACGCGAATCTGGAGTTCCGAAGCGATGGCGCAGAGTGGGAGTGGGGGGGGGGCACTTCTCCTAAAGAAGGGCGCCTGCCGAGCAGCGTTCAAGATTCAAAATTCTGGTGAAAGATACAGGTCGGAGCCACGTATTATCTTCATATCTGCACATTTATTCGCATAACGGTACCGTTACCGATATAGGTACACCATACGAAACGTCATACAAACTCTGAGAACCTAATAAATTGTATTAGATCTAATTGCGGAAAGACAGCCTTCGTCCAGATACTTTCGCAGTTTCTCACGATACGAAAAACGCGCAGGAGCAGCGTGCAGTGTAGAGAGTAAATGCGCTCTCTTTCCTGTCTCTCAACCGCCCGGAGCTCATACACCGGCAGGCACTCAGCGATATTGCGGAAGATAAAAAGATTCCCTTCGTCGGCTCGATGAGCCCAGACATTAGACGCAAAGCCAACCGACAGACCGTGAGGCCGCTCCGATGCTCTGTACGGCTTCATTTCCCTTTCGGCTCGCTAACGGCTTCTAATGGGGAGTTTAATATTTTTAATTAGGCGGAAAATGGTCGAAGGTGCTTTTTTTTTCACGCGAGTGGCGGTAGGGCCCGCAAGCACGTGTTCCGTGGAAGGAGGAGGATGCTGCGCCGCGCCAAGTGGCGACCTCGCCACCGCGAGCACCCACCCACGTCACGTCCACGGGGCTACGAGGTGAGGTGTGACGACGGGGCCAAGAGAAGCGAGGGGAAAGCGGGGAAGGTGGTGGGGACGACGAGGCCTGGGTGTCCCCTCGCGATATTACGCTGCTGTCGGGGCCGCTGTTGACTTAGCAGATATTGAATCAAACACGACGTCCGCCCGGGCACCTCCCACCCCCGCTTTCCGCCCCTCTATCTCTCTCCAGCACCTCCCGCTTGCAGGGGCCCTGAGGGTGGAGCGCACAGGCGGCGCCGGCGGACGCAGCGGGGCGGGGCGGTCGAGCGGAAGACCCGGCCGGGCTGACACAGCACGGCGCGGAGGCGGCTGCGGCGCGCGCGCAGGGCAGGGCGGGACTGCTGGAGGCCGTGGAGTAGCGTTCGGGGTCGAGGGCGGCGGGCGGGGCAGGGCGGGGCAGGGCGGGGCAGGGCGGGGCAGGCGGGGAGGGCGGGGCGGAGGCGGTGAGGCGGGCGGCGAAGCGTTCGGGGCCGAGGGCGGGGCGGAGGCGGCGACGCGGGCAGCGGCTTGCAAATGAGGCAAGCCGCGCGGAGCAACGCTAACACGGCCGGAACGGCCGCCGGCGCCAGCGCTGGGCAGGGCTGGCAGAGGAGGGCGGGGAGGAAGCGGCAGGCGGCGCGTAAGGCGGCGGATGCAGCGGCAGCATCGGCCTCGCCGCACACCGGCCAGCGGCCAGCGGCCAGCGCCTGCCGGAAGCGAGGGCGGACGCGCAGGAAAGCCGCGCGAGGCGCGCACGCGATGGCGCGCACGCCCACCAAGACTACTAACTTTACCACCAACTTAAAAAGCACGACTAACATAATGCACATGTAGTATATTACTGCTCTCTTCAACACACAAGTATCTGGTAGATTTGAATATTCTTCTATCCTACATCTACAAAGACGAGAAATAAGTAATATTTCCTAATTATTAAAAGTTTTAAAACCATAGATAGATTACAATTACTTTCTAAATACTTATTTCCATTGTTTTTCATACTTCGGAGCGATCATAAATAAATGTAACTGAAAATATGACGAAAACAATATGCCGCAGTGAATGCATCCTTTTCAAATTCAAGGGGCTGCTTCAAGGGTCAGATCGATCGGGGAGAGTCAATTTTGGTGAAAATCCTACCTCGGTAGAGCTACTAGCATTGTTGACGGACGGACGAACACACGTTTTGCAGTAAACCAGTTTTTCGATATCAAAGACGCACAAAAAGTGCATTCTGACAACATAAAGGGTTCGAAGAAGTACTTTACTATACTTAAGAACAAGATTTAGTCACTTGTTTGAAATGGGGGTTCTACATTAAAATTTTTGTGACGAAAAATCGCGTTTTTGTTGCGAAAGCATTTCAATATTTTCTCGAAATGATAAAGTAAAATTAGCAGGTGAAGATTACTTAGAGTAAATTACGAGCAAACACTGCAAAGAACGTTCTTAAAAGGTGCAATTCAAATTCAACGCACACATGATCTAAGGATCGCAAAAATTACCTTTGTGCATACTAGTTTCTTAAGGGCAGCAGACCCGACTATGAACTAAAACATTTAAAAGAACACATGCCATTACAGCGACCAGCGTTGCGGTCGGCAAGAAAACACACGGGAAGGAGAATGGAAGCCAAGATCTCCGCGAGGAGGCACATTTCAGCGGCGGTGCCATCCTTCCCAGCCGTCGCGTCGACCTGCCCATCGCAGGCGGTGCCCAACGCGGCGTTTGCATTCGTAAGTACGTCCGCGGAGCAGGTGCGCTCCCGACAGCGCAGTTTTCGCCGCTTCGCACCTGCGCGCTCCGCCGCCCTGGCAGTCGTGGTCACGTCTGCCACCACCGCCACCTCTAACGTTGCCGCCGCGCGGTCCGCCTCCACCGCCCCAGGTTCCGTCACCTCCATCGCCGCCGAAGTCATCGCCCCCGCCACCACAATCATCGCCGCCATCTCCACCGCCATCACCGCCCCGACCCCGCCCCAGGGCGGGGAACAATCATCAGCGCCTCCACCGTAATTATCGCTGCCACCTCTCGCGCCCCTATTCCCGCCCCCTCCAACACCATCATAGCCGCCACCAACATCGGCACCATCACCGCCACCGCAATCATTGCCGCCGCCAACGAAATCATCGGCATCATCGCCATAGCAATCTTTGCGGCCATCACCAAGTCGCTTCAACTGCCCTACCGCCATCATCGCCGCTGTCGCCGTCACTACCAACGCAATCACCGTCACCACCATCGTCGCCGTCTCGACCTCCATCACCATTACCGCCACCTCCACCGCCATCATTGCCATCTTTAGCATCACCGCCATCTCCATCTCCACACCATCATCGCCGTCTCCTCCTCCACCGCCATCATCCTCGCCTCCACCTACATCGCCATCGTCGCAGTCTCCACCTCCACCGCTATCGTCGCTGCCACTACCGCCAACGCAATCATCGCCCGCACCCGCACCCGCCACCGTCTCCTCCGGCACTGCCACCGTCTCGGCCGTCGCCACCCCTGCCTCGGGCGCCGCAAGCAGATGAGGAATAAATTTCAAACGAGTCGCCCGGCCAGCGGGACGCGGTTCGCAGCTCCCGTGCTCCCCCGCGTGGGTAATCCCTCTTTAACGAGACTTCTATTCGGAGCCGTCTCCAGAAGTTCGCCCGCCAGGCCCCGCCCCCCGGCCCGCGCCCCGACTCTCTCTCAACTCTGTCTCAAGTAAGTACAGAAGAGTTTGTGAAGCTGCTCCAGTTGTCTTAACGGAGAAACATTCGGTAAACGTTTCCTGACTTGCGTGCACGTCTTGCGGATGTTCCTGCAGTTGAGATTATGAAAAGGGTAGTTTGTTGTTTTATCTACATTTGAGCAAACAATGAACAAATACACTGATTCTCAGATATTAACAACGGATATAGCTAAAGGATATTGTCACAGCCACATGAAAAGAAATAACCATCCAAGAAAACGTCGATCTTTGTATCTTCGAGAAAGTGTTCATTCTATACAAGGGATGCAAAGAATATATAGAATTGTGGGATTTCACAATGCAGAAGTTTCACATACGTGAAGAAACGTAACATCACTATTTGTAACACACACATTAGGCCTATTTAATTTGGAAGAAATTTCATTCTTTAGGTAGCAGATAAATGAATTTGAACAATTTCTTCTTGTTATAATTTACTTATATTATTTCTGATAAATGTACTTGCTAATAATATTCTTGATTTTCTTATTTTAACTTTTAAATTTGCCATCTATTTCCACATACGAAAAACTAATATTTCATTTCAGCGAACGAAAAAAAAATTAAAATTAATTTCATCAATCTACCTCGAACAAAAAAAAAATATAGAAATCGCGAAATGGACATGTGAAATACAGAAAACTGTGAATAAAAAACAATTTGTGTTAATGGGATGTACAGGGATTGTAGTGAGGGAAGTTTTATTAAAAGTTCAACATGAAGAATCTGCTTTAGAGCTTGTATCAAAACAAAACAACTTTTATTTTTACTTGTACATTACACTTGTCCGTAGGTTACACACCGCGTTGTCACACACAATTCCTTCCTAGGGCCACGTGTTACTACTGAACATGTCTGTCACTGGTCGCACACCCGAAGACTCTGGACGAACTGCTTCCGGAGAGGGCTCCCGTGACACTTCTCGCTCTAACATCGATTGGCGACCAAAGGAGGCTCATTCGCGCCTGGTTCCCTTTGCAGTCCAGCTGGCTCTCCTTCACTCGCCCTTCCCTCTGCTGCGCCTGGCTGCCGTCACCGGAGCGCTGGCTCGGCGCGGCGCGGGCGCGGCTGGCCGGCGCGGGCGCGGGGCGGGCGCGGGCGCGGGGGCGCGGGCGTGCGGGCGTGGGCGTGGCGGGCTGGGCGCGCGCGTGGGCGCGGGGCCGGGCGCGTGGGCTGGCGGACGACGCATCTGAATAATCCGGCGCCGATCCGCGCTGGATCATCGCCCGCCGCAGCTTCGCAGCAGCGCATTGAATTTCATGAGGGAGACCGAGGCGGCGGCGGTCGCGAGGGGCGGACGAGCCCGGCGTCAGCCTAGCTGCTCACGAACGACCGCCGACAGACCACCGAATCACCGGACCGCATGACGGAGCAGGATCGAATTCAAAGAGCTGCCAATCGGTGTTCATGATAATTCCCTCCAGATGGAATATATAACTAAGGGTGATAACTAAGGGATCGTATTCTCAACACTAAAGGAATTTCATTCGGAAACCGCCAACACTAGTTATTCCATATTAATACAGCTCAACAGTATTCAAAGGCGGATTGATGAATGCTTTATACTAATTGCGAGATTACTGAAATCGTCAAGTATATATTAAATATTACATTGTGAGGCATCCTGACGTTATTTGAAAATTAATCTCGATATTTCGGTTGTCTTTTGGTTCGCAAATTATTAACCGCTTGGTTATAGCTCAATTGTATTTCCTCGTCCATTCGAAAACGAATTTTATAATTCATGAGCAACAAAATCCACGTACATTTTAATGTATTATTTTCACATTTAAAATATATATTCGCTAAGTCGGTTCGGTATTCCCAAAATTTAAAAATGCCAGACTTGGCGAGAAAGAAAAACGTTTTCGAGTATAAAATATGTGAGAAATACTTTTACAATCTAATCTACAATTCAATATAAAATAGTAAATAAATATAAAACATTGTCTAATTGCTTATCGCTCAAACGCTACATTACAAAAATATATCATTAGCGAAAAAAATTTGGATCAAATTTAAAATATTCAAAGACTTAAAAGCACATACAAAAATCCCATCCGCACATACATTG